TTTTCTTGAGTGTGGTGTGTCCTTTGCTGAACCAGTCTCCTGCGAGGATAGTGTAGTCGTCTTCCGGATCAGGATAGGGGACAGGAATGAGCAAGCGGCTGTTAATACGAAGGCCTCCAAAACCGCCGGCTGCCTTATGCATAACTGTCGACGGATAATACATGTAGCTACCTATTTGGTCCTTGACCTGGAAGTGATAGGTGTAATTCTTCCCAGGGGGGATAGGGCAGTTGGTTCCGAGCACACCATCTTGCCAGGAGTTCTTCCTCTGTTGTACGCCGGTCCTGCAACCAATTCCATTGTCATACAATTAACTCGATTTCTGCATAGCTAAAGAACTAGTTCAGAGAAAAGAAGTCTAATCAATCTGATCTTGAATTGTACTAATTGTTTACCATGTCAGAAGGAATGGCTCATCGAGGTTATTGAAGACATTGACCACTACGTTGTTGTTGCTGGTAGAGTTGATATTTGGCCCTGGGAACTGACCGTTGATAAGAATGCCTTGCTGGGGAACACCCGTGGGAGAGATGGTACCATAGGTGACGTTCCAAGTGAAGAAAAGGTAAGGGTCTTCGCCACGGACCGCCAACATTGATGCAGCCCAGAGGCATAGCAACAATATTAACATCACTCCATTCATCGTCCCTTTTTTCTCTCGTTGCCTGCTTTCTGTAAAATCGTCTCGAAAGAGCTAATTTCGTGATTACTCTGTTTATCCCTAGTGGAAGAAGATTTTGTTTGCCTTGATGATCTATGAACTGAATGGGTTCTTGGCTCATGCCTTTTTATACAGGGGATCCGTTCCTGCACATGTATTGTCAACCACGCAACTCCCGCAAATATCCCTGTGCTCACTCTTCACTCGAGATCCTTACATTACGCCCTTCCTTTCATTTCATCCCTTTACTTTCAATATATGCTATTTTTAACAGTAACAGATTTTACTACGTAAACAACTCGTTTCTAGAATTTCGCATTTTTCTTTCTAAATCTTCAACAAAAAAGCTGAATCCAGTACTAATAGAACATAGATATAAAACATACAACCCACACACTCGCACACACCCATATATATATTATATTGACATTAGTTTTGTCTTACAAAAACAAAGATATTACTAAATTAATAAATAAATCTTACAAAAATTGATAAACTACATCATTTAATAATCAAACATAATTTAATTACCAACATCAATCCAGTGTGTTCCCAATGAGACTATCCACCAAGGTTAAAATGGGAGATTCCAATTCCAAGATTTTATATTAAAATTTTGGACGTAAGAATGGGGACATGGGAAGCGAGTAGGCTCCCTCCTTTTTGTATCTTGAGGTTTTGCGAGTCTTCATATTTTCCAAGAAAACTTAGAAATGTGATTAGTGATGCCAGTTTATATATATCACACACGACAACCAACTAATCAACCTAGTATTTAGTTGCTTAACGAAAATAATTATGTTTTGTCATTTTATTGCTTAACGAAAATTTGAGGATACTTGAAAAAAGGATTAAGAAAATTTGAGGATACTTGAAAGAAGGATTAAAGTCATTCACAATATGTTTTTTCCTTTTCTTTTCCTTCCTTCAATATATAGGAGGGAAATAAGAGGAGGAAATGAAAATGAGCGAGTTAACTTTCAAAAAAAAAAAACGAGAGAAGAAAATGAGTGAGTTTGTACTTTTTTCTTCTTTTCAAATCTAATTCTTCTAAATGTCGAAGGAAATGACTCTTTCAACTTATGTTAAACAATTAATGTACAACTCTACCCTTTTTAATTTTTGGTTTCATTCATTCTATTTTCCATCCTTCTGACCAATTATAATGAAAAACAACTTTCCTTCCTCTTCATTAGTTTTTATTTCCTCACCTTTATCCTTTCCCTATATTTTCCTTTTGTCCTACCAAACATATAGTTTTTCCTAACACTATCAAAGGAAGAAAGAAAAATCAAGGGAAGGGAAAAAGATGGGAAAGAAATGAAGAAAATTTCTTTTTAATTTTTTGTGTTTGGTAAGGATGATGAAAAAAATAAGTATCTTAGACTAATCAATCCACTTAATCCAGTCATGATCTGCCTAATCCATTTAATTAATCATAATGTTTTTTTTGTGAAAATAATAAAATTTCATTAAGGCTTAAGAGATTAAAAAAAGGGAAAAAAAGAAGAAGCAAGGGAATGTAGAAAGGAAGAAAAAAACTAATTCTGGGGGAAGGAAAAAAGAATGAAAGAAGAAAATTATAAGGGGGAACAAGTTTTCTGAGGAATAAAGGTCATCATCGATGCTTAAAGGTGAGAAAAGGGTAACATCAGTGAAGGAATGCAACACTATTGAAGCTTAAAATAAGAAAAGAGCTCCCAAGCTTTAGAGCGCCAAGAATGTCTCGAAAGAGTAACTGTTCAGGGAAAATGAAGTCCCATGCACCTTAGGAAGGAACAGGGTTGACGAATAACACAACTAGAATGTGAAGTAGACAAAAAAGGAAGAGGCAAGATAGATAAGGATAATATGGGGGCTAAACGTTAATGAGGGAAATCGCAGAGAGTGAAGAGAAAGTACTGAGCGAGCGTAGAGAGTTAGGAAAGAATGAAGGTTGTAAGGAACAAGATGGGGTGATATGTAGTAAAGGACTAAGAGTGTTCTCAAGTTAGGGTAGTGAAGGGGAAGAAGACTAATATGAGAACATTGAGTAGCAAAAGTCAAGGAAAGAGGAGAGTGAGTCGAGAAAGGAGCATCAGTTGTGCAATTGAATCCAATTTTGGGGTTGCAACTTTTAATCATGTAATGTAAAACTCAGGATTTTAGTACAAAAGTAATAGTAAATTCCTTAGTAAAGCTTATAAAATATTCTTTTCAACTAAATACTTTAAATATTATTATTTGACAAATTTATAGTTTCAAGTTATTAAATAGATTTGAAAGAAAAAAGAATGAGAAAAATCAAAAAACAAATGTATTTTAGGATAAAGGTAAAGTGGTAATTTTATTCACTTTTGTTGAGTTTTTTCTTTGACTTGGTCAAAGCTTCCTGCCGACCACCCTTGTTTCTTTTCCTCCTTCACTCTTTCTTTTTTTTTCACTCTTTTCTTTCTTTCTTCATCCTTTCATGCTTGCTCAAAATCTAACCACAAATCTTCAAATTTTAGCTCATTCAAGGTAGGATTTCAGCTTCTTGATATTTATATTTATGGGTTTCAATTTTTGAACTTCCTCTCTCTAAGATTTTAATGTTTCTCTCCCTAAAACGTTAAGTTTTGCTTGATTTTCCTCCTACAAGCTATCCAAGGTAATAAGATAAACTTAAATTTAGGCTATTTAGACTATAGGTATGCACCCGATCATTTGACTCTTTGGTTGGTATATGATCTTCTTGCCTAAAGAGTAAGATTCAAATCCCTCTTCCCCCAATTATTAAACAAAAAAAAGAAGAGACTATGGGTATGAGTTCTAGAAGAGAAATTAAGGGAAAATATTGGTTTATTGTTAGGTTGAGATAGAGTTTTGTTGATTAGTTCAATAATTTCGAAAAAAAATTTAGAATTTAATTGAGTTTCATGTTGATTGCAGCAATTATAGTGTCTTTTGAAACTTCAAGATTCCATTTGAGGTAATGTATTAGTTAATTGTTTGTGGCCATTCAAGTGTTACACTTGAGGTGAGTAAACATAATATTTTCAAAGTATTTTGATATATATCTTAGCATGTCTCTTTAGCTGCTTTAGCATATATTTATATTATGTAAATATGTATATCTATATAGTAGTTATGCATATGAGAATTGTTGGGTGAGGGTTGATCATGCATCAAATACAAATAAAATGCAGCGAAAATAAATTTAAAAAATTGAATTACACCTCAACCTCTTGGATTCTTTTCCATGCCAAATTAAGTATAGAATTAAATTAAAAAAATTATATGATAATATCACTTTACCTAAATAACAAAGGTTGATGAAACCTTTGTTAAACCACCAGATCAGCCTTCAAAAATCTCAACCACTTTAGCTCGATTATTGTAAACCACAGTTGTCCAAGAAAGCCTTGTGCAGTCTCTAATGGTGATCCACACCAATAAGTTAGAAAATCCTTCTTTAAGGATTGGGAGTTCTATGCTTTGTCAATGTGCTAGCATAAATGAGTTTCATAAACTCATAATCCACACAAAAATTTTGAGACTGAACACACAAAAGAAATCAAGTGAATGAAAAACTATTTTTCTTCACACAAGGAGCGGCAAGGCAAAAAGAATTTCTAATGTGTCGTTCTTCTAATTTTTTAGCCACTCTCTCTTTTTTTTTTTAGAGGCTATAGCAAGGTATGCTGGAATGGTATGAAATTCATAGATAACTATTGCATTTAAATGTGTTGCATCCACATACTTTATCAATTATTTATGGATAATTACTTGATATTCAATTAATTACTATTGAATATTATTCTGAAATTTCTTAATTGAAAAATTAAAAAAATTGTTTGAGATAAGATAGAAATTTAAATTTAATTTGTTTAAATTCACATTATTTATCCATTATATTTAAATTTAAATAAAGATTAATTATATTTAAATATAATATTCTATCTCTATATCCCTAATACATCTATAAATAGTGAACAGGTGTACTAGTTTCAAAACACAACCAAAGAGTAAATAGGAGTTCTTCTGTAAGTCATAAAAACCAAAAACTCTTTTCTCTTTTTTTTCTCTTCATTCTTGAGGCACCATAAAAAAGCAGACAATTTTGGAACGTGTAATTTCTTGCGAAGGACTCTAGTAACTACTCCACAACAACAAGAGTGAAGAAATTATTTTGCACGAAGGAGGATTTATAATGCAAGCTTCTTCAATCAGAAACGGAGGAATATTTGTTTGAAAAGGTAAGCCCACCTCCTAATAGTGGTATTAGAGCAGGTTTTGACTTGCTTTCATCTTTTTAATCTGTGTATATTTTTAAAACGTATTTTGATTATAATTTTATTTAATTTAAATTACCGGTGTTGATTTTTATATATAAATCTGTAAAAGTTGTTGAAACAGATATGGGGAAGGAGTAGATTTTAAGCCAGTGCAAACAAGTGCATTGGTTTAAGGCCACGTGGCCCCTTATCGATGGCAGCAAAACAAAAAAATAATAAGGAAAGAAAATGTGACTAGTAGGATTTGAACCTGCACTAAGAAAAATGTGACTAGTAGGATTTGAACCTGCACTGAGAAAGTCATTGAGACTTTAAAAAAATCTTTTAACCACTATGCCAAGGAAACATTCTTGAGATGAAAGTGCAGCAAATAATAAAGACCAAAAGGGTCTAGACACTGCCATAAAGGGCCTAACAAGGTAGCCACATGGTGTCAAAGGATATATTTTTACTAATTGCATTTTTTGCCTATAAGTTTTTGTTTTTAGAAAATGACCCCAAAAGTTTTTTTTGGTAATTAAAATTTCACAAAAAAAAATCAAAATATTATTTAACCTTTTGGCATGTTACTATTTTATTAATTTCACATGCATTATAAATATATTTAATTAATATGGTAATTAACCACATTTTTTTTCTTATATGTTGTACACTAGAAATTATTTTTTTTTCGAAAACATATATATAAATTAAGCAAATGTTTGTTAATTCAATTATTTTATATTTGTTGCAAAATACTATGTACCATATAAGTATACTTTATGATTATTTCACTTATTTGTTAGGTAAAATTTATAAATGCATGATGCAATTATTTTACTTATTT